GCAAAATATTCCTTCAGCAAATTATGTATGGAACCTTCTAAGACCAGCCAGAAGGCTCTTGCAAAAACAGAAGTCTTCTATTTGCTCTTTAACAAGAACCAGAAGGTTTTACTGAGGCTGTGTCCAAGAGCAAGCCAACAGAATTAATGCATGTGCTCTCTTTGCGAAAGCAATGATGTTTTGTGTTTCCCTTAATTCCATTTCCTATATCTAAGGAAAAAGATTTGACAAAATTCAATTGTCCTTACCTTTCTTGTCTTCCCCACTATGCCTCAGCATAATTTCAATTTTTTGTTTGGTCCTGTAGTTTAATAACATAATTTCCAGTGAAAGGTGCAATCAAAGAGTTTAACTATCAAAGTTACATTGCCATGCATACCTAGTACTCTCAAATCATTTATATATTCACACAAGCAGCACTGCAGAACCTGAATTCTATGACATGCAATCTAATGCAGAGATATATCCAATGTAATATGGTAACAAAACCACTATCACACAATGCTCTTGTCACTATGTGCCTCAGTCTTGACAAATGTACACCAAAAAAAGTCATGGTATACTTAAAGGCTCAGCTCAAACTCAAAAACATTTTACTCAGCAGTTTCATTCCCTTCCTGGATGAAAAAAATAGGACATCAGGATGAAACAAGATTGTTGAGAAGGGTGGTGACAAAATAATTGCCCCAGAGTTTTAAGATGGATTACTGCGACAAAATACTGATTTCATACTCAAGCAAATTAATAATACTAAAAGTCAAACAAACTATTTTGAACTACCATGTTCTACTCTTAATAAATTATGTAATTTCATCAAATTTCCATTAAGCAGTAAGCTAATCACCAGATCAGGTCACATAAACATACAGTCTATTGTACAGTACACAGTTTCTCATCCCCTTACAAAAAAGTCCTGCCCCCTGGGATTGCCTCTGAACTATTTAACTTTTATGAAATTCAATCCATTCACAGATACACACACAGATACACACACACACACACATATATATACACACACACACACAGCACTGTGCAAAAGTTTTAGGCAAGTGTGAAAAATGCTGTAAAGTAAGAATACTTTCAAAAATATATATTGTAATTTTTTATGTTTATCAATTTACAAAATGCAAAGTGAGCAAACAGAAGAGAAATCCAAATCAAATCAATATTTGGTGTGACCACCCTTGTTTATCCATTTACAAAATGCAAAGTGAGCAAACAGAAGAGAAATCCAAATCAAATCAATATTTGGTGTGACCACCCTTTGCCTTCAAAACAGCATCAGTTCTTCTAGATACACTTGCACAGAGC